TACAAAATGTTTTATGTAAGATTTATGTTTTGTAATTTAAATCTGACATCACAAAAGTATTTTGGAATTTGAATAATGTATTTTGTAACTGCAGTACACATAATACTAATTTTAAACAATTTTGTCCAGGTTCCTTGCCACCGGGGACTCCTTCAGGACCATCGCGTTCAGTTTTCGAGTCGGTGTGTCCACGGTGAGCCAGATCATCCCCCAGGTAGCGACGGCCATCTGGGACTGTCTAGTGGACGATTTCATGGCTGTGCCTTCAACTGAAGACTGGCGGTCCATCGCAGAGGGATTCCAGGAGCGCTGGAACTTCCCTCTCTGCTGTGGAGCTCTGGATGGGAAGCACGTCCAGACGAAGGCACCCCCCAACTCAGGATCCATGTTCCACAACTACAAGGGAACTTTTTCCATTGTTCTCCTTGCGGTTGTGGATGCAGAGCATCGCTTCCGCGTCATTGATGTTGGGGGGTACGGGAGGACCAGCGACGGTGGTATTCTGGCCAACTCCACCTTTGGTCAGGCTCTTCGGGCTGGGACTCTCCATCTGCCTCCTGACCAGCCTCTACCTGGTGGAGAACACCGTGGAGCCCAGCCCCATGTCTTTGTGGCTGATGAAGCGTTCCCGCTGCGGCGTGAGCTCATGAGACCTTTCCCTGGACGCCTCCTCCCTTTAGAGAAGAGGATCTTTAACTATCGCCTTTCCAGGGCCAGGATGATAGTGGAGGGTGCCTTCGGTATCCTCTCCTCACAGTGGAGGTTGTATCGGCGCGCCATGGAGCTCCGTCCTGAAATTGCGGAGAAGTGTGTGAAGGCAACGTGTGTTCTCCACAATTTTCTGCGCTGTGTGGACGAGAGAGGGGCACCTGCTGTGAGGGGTGTGGCACCTGCTGTGGTGGAGCCGTTGCAAGGCCTGGGTCGTGTAGCAGCAAACAACTCCTCCAGAGAGGCTGTCCTGGTGAGGGAGAAGTTCATGGCCCACTTCTCGGCGGAGGGAGCCGTGTCTTGGCAACCAAAGGAGTAGCCTGTTTGAAGTCTGAGTGACTTCCCCACAACGGCTCTTTTAAGAGCCACCCACAAACCTCTAAAGAGTGTTCCTGTCTTTTTAAAATTTTCTTAATAAATGGAGCTCTACTCCAAAATAAACTAACCTCTCTTTACTCTCTTAAATAACTTGTCTTCACTATGTTCCTATATACAGTGTGATGCAAAAGTTTGGGCAACCTTATTAATAGTCATTATTTTCCTGTATGAATCGCTGTTACAGTAAAAAATGTCACTTACATATATCATATAGGAGACACACACATTGATATACACTACATATTTATGTTATTTCTCTTTTTTTGTGTTGCCAATTTATGCACCTGCTTGCTTTAGTTTAAACAGTTATTGCACACTTTCTGTAAATCCAGTGAACTGCATTTCACTTCTCAAATATCACTGTGTGTGTCTCCTATATGATGTATTTAACTGACAATTTTTATTGAGACAACCAACAATTTGTACAGGAAAATAATTACTTTTCACAATGTTGCCCAAACTTTTGCATCCCACTGTATTAGTATGTTTTGTATCCACAACCGCAAGGAGAACAATGGAGAAAGTTCCCTTGTAGTTGTGGAACATGGATCCTGAGTTGGGGGGTGCCTTCGTCTGGACGTGCTTCCCATCCAGAGCTCCACAGCAGAGAGGGAAGTTCCAGCGCTCCTGGAATGGACTGCCAGTCTGCAGTTGAAGGCGCAGCCATGAAATCGTCCACTAGACAGTCCCAGATGGCCGTCGCTACCTGGGGGATGATCTGGCTCACCGTGGACACACCGACTCGAAAACTGAATGCGATGGTCCTGAAGGAGTCCCCGGTGACAAGGAACCTGGAGAAAATTGTTTAAAATGAGTATTATGTGTACTGCAGTTACAAATACATTATTCCAATTCCAAAATACTTTTGTGCTGTCAGATTTAAATTACAAAACATAAATCTTACATAAAACATTTTGTAATTATAAGGATAATTACATGATATATATTAGATATAATGTAAAACAGTCTGTGGTGATTATATAACAAATATTCAACTATCCCAGAATTAAACCAGGTCTAAATAAAAAGGAGTGAGTATCACTACAAAGGTTAACTCAGTGGTGCTAATGCTACAGTTTGATATCAGCAAACACCGAGCGCATACATTGATGTGACACCACAGCCATGCTATCATCGCAAACACTGATAACAGCATAAATCGAATTAAATCGGGACTTGATGAGAGCTTCTGAGTATCACTAGAAATATTATAAATAGTCGTCTCTGTACCACAGTTTGCTTTCAGTAAACACCGACAGCATTCACTGTTAGCATAGCACATCCATGTTAGCAGTGTATAAACAATAGCTTAGCATATTAGCACAGGTATCAATAAAGGACTACCGTATTAAACACTTTTACTAACCTCAGGCAGACGGACAGGCGCTCTGCAGGTGGGATTGAGCGCCTGTAGTTGGTGTCTAGGCGGGCGATGCTGGGACCAACGCGGGACAGCAGGTCCTCAAACTGGCCGAGTGAAAGACGGTGATAGCACTGGAGTCGGCCGTCATCCAGGCGCAGATCCTGGAGCAAGTGGTGAAACTCACCAAACTGCTCGCGCGTCTGCAGGACCTGATGGACCCAGGTACGGCGAGGACGTCCTTAACGCTGCTGCTCTGCTCTCCACAGTAAATACAGAAGGGAGACTCTCTCTTCAAACGCTAGCTCGACAGCTGCCATCTTGCAAAGATACCGGTCTGGCACAACTTCCTCCCACATCCCTCCCACATTTCCGGTTCACGCATGTCAAAATATGCAATTTTGAGGCGCGATTGATTTGTGTTGGACACGCGACGAGGTGCGAATGTGCACACGTCAAATTAGGGGCGTCTGGGGCGTTTTCGCTCGTGTCTATCGTGTTCGGTGTGAGGATCCAGGGTCACCTGGTCCAGCTCTAACTATATGCTTTAGCAAAAAGAAAAGTTTGAAGCCTGATCTTAAAAGTAGAGATATTGTCTGTCTCCTGAATCCAAACTGGAAGCTGGTTCCACAGAAGAGGGGCCTGAAAACTGGGGTGTTGATTCATTTAAACTAACATAATCATCCTGCTGCAACCAGGTTTCTGTAAGGCAGAGTAAATCGATTTGTTGATCATTTATTAAGTCATGTACTAACAGAGACTTGGAGGAGAGAGACCTAACATTTAATAATCCACATTTCACTGTTTTACTCTTTGGTTCAGATGTGGATACTGTATTGTTCTTTCTTTGTAATTGTTTATGTTTCAGTTGTTTGTTGCTGGTTTTTAGTTTGTTTTTGTCTGTTTGGAAGCTGACACAGTCTCTATGGAGATGGGTTTTTGGGGGGGTAGCAGGAGGAGAGAAGCTGCAGAGAGGCGTGTAAGACTGCAACTCTGCTTCCTGGTCCCAACTCTGGATAGTCATATTTTGGGGGGTTTAATAAATTTGTCCATATTTCTAGAAATGAGAGCTGCTCCATCCAAAGTGGGATGGATGCCGTCTCTCCTAACAAGACCAGGTTTCCTCCAGAAGGTTTGCCAACTATCTATGAAGCCCACATTGTTTCTGGGACACCACTCAGACAGCCAGCAATTTAAGGAGAACATGCGGCTAAACATGTCACTCCTGGTCTGATTGGGGAGGGGACCAGAGAAAACTACAGAGTCCCACATTGTTTTGGCAAAGTTGCACACTGATTCAATATTGATTTTAGTGACCTGCGATTGGCGTAACTGGGTGTCATTACCGCCGACGTGAATTTTACCCTTATTTACATACATTTAACCTTAGCCAGCAGTTTTAAATTTCCTTCAATGTCGCCTGCTCTGGCCCCTGGAAGACAACTGACTATGGTTGCCGGTGTCTCTAGCTTCACATGTCTGAGAACAGAATCACCAATTACCAGAGTTTGACCCCCGGCGGGTGTGTCGCCGAGTGGGGAAAAACGGTTAGACACATGAACGGGTTGGTGGTGTACCTGGGGCTTCTGTTTAGGACTATGCTTCCTCCTCACCGTCACCCAGCCGCCCTCTTTCCCCAGCTGCTTGGGGTCTGCCGGGGAACAGCTAGCGGGGCCTACGCTATCTTCGGCTGCACCAGCTACAGGGGCCTGGCTAGCTACGGGTGAATGAAGGATGCGAAGCAGATTCTCCAATTCAGTAATCCTGGCCTCCAGAGCTGCAAATATGCTACATTTGTTACAGATATCATTACTGCTAAAGGAGGCCGAGGAGTAACTAAACATCTGACACAAGGAGCAAGAAAGTGCAGGAGGGAGAGGTGAAGTAGCCATGGTGCTAACGAGTCGGCTACGAGCTAAGCTAAGCTAGCGAAACAGTACAGAGACAGAGAGTGTAGGTAGTGAGTACACAGAAAGTGTGCTTCTGATAAGCACGTGAAGATTGTAATATGAAAAAAGAATGTATCTAACAGTTTTTAATGAAATTGCTAAGCAGATAAGCTACTCAGAAACACCACTGTGTTTGAGCGAGCGAACACCAAGTGACAAGGCCACTGGTTTTTAAAGCAACTTTTGAATCAGATAATCATCAGATGAGTCATAAGTGAAACAACCGTGAGGTTCAACCATAATATTTGCATGATTCATACTTAAGCCTTCGATAATCGCAGCGGTTCGGAGACTAATTTAAGCTCTGTGGTGCTTCTTTATTCTAACGCTGTATTTCTGCATGAAAAATGAGAAAAACTTGGTAGGACATCAGCGCACAGGCAGTTTATTTTGCACATAAAGATTGAGACCTCTATCCCGTCCAGAGAGGTGTGCATGCAGGTGATACCGACTTTGAGACGCACAGGTGTTTGCTCTTATCCTCCAAACATAGCGGCACAGATACATTTCCCCTGATAATGAGGAGGCGTGTAGGATAAAGGTATACTCATGAAAGTAGAATAAGGACTTACTTACTGACCTGTTGTCCTCTCTCCTCCTCTCAGATCGAAGGAGCTGATAAAGGAGGCCATCTTGGACAATGACTTCATGAAGAACCTGGAGCTGTCTCAGATTCAGGAGATCGTGGATTGCATGTACCCGGTGGATTATGGGAAGGACTCGTGCATCATTAAAGAGGGTGACGTGGGCTCGCTGGTGTTTGTGATGGAAGGTGAGGAACCCACGGTTTGGTTTTCTGTCACTCTTCAGGATCTATTTATTTATTTCTCTGTCAACAGTTATTTTTAAAGCGAGGTATTTCTGGCAGAAATTTCTCTTTTCAAGAACTTTTCAGGTTTGGGGAATTTGGGGAAAATTCTGGGTGAAAAACTACTTTTGATCTGAGGTGAGGGGACTTTTGAACCAGGCCGTGCAGCTTGTTGCCACTCAGGTCTGTTCTGGTTGTTAGACTTTCCTGTGTCATTTTTTTTGTCCTGAGAGTTTATCAGATGTTTCTTTTTTGCTGGTTCTTAAAGAACTTGATGTTTTTCCTTGAACGAATAAAAACTGTGCATTTTGAGCTGTAGTTGTAGTGCAATGCTCATTGTGAGCATCTTTGAATGTGTGGTTGGTGACAGACAGCACCTCTCCTCACTCCGAAGCTTTTTTTAAAGGAACTGTCTCACATTAGATAATACAAATCTCATCTCTAGAAGAAGCCGACCCTTCAGGTTTGCTTTAACGATCGTGTTTCTCCAAACTAAACCTGCCATTGTGCCTCTGAGACCATTGGTGGGTGAATGAAAGTTTGTAAAGAGGTTTGAAGACGAGAACACTGAGCCAAACCTTTGGAGACACAGAAACATGAAAAAGTTCATTACGGCGGCTCGTGAGGAAATTGTTTATCACTACACGAGAAATAGGATTCCAGCTTTCAGCTTCTTGAAATAAATAATTATGGAACTCATTTATTCTTTAATGACTACATTTCCTCCAATGAGCTGAGGAGTGAATAATTTCACAGGTCTTCTGTGTGGCGGTGAATTCATGAAGTGTAGCGACATGGAAACTCCTTAACAAGCGGTATCTCAGAGTTCCGTGACATTTCCGCCTGAAGTTTCCCAGAGCGCCGTTCGACCTTCAGGATGTACTTTGCTCGGCCGCCGGGAACATGTCAGAGCAGCGCGACATTGCGTAACGTGTCAGAGCGCCTGAAGGCTTTCACCTCCACTCTGCTGCTGTTTTCCCTGCTGCCTTCACACCGCACACTACTTCTGCTGCTGTGAGGAAGAGGAGAACTCAAACACAACATTTTTCTGCTTGTGGAAAAAAAAATCACAAAAATCGTCCTGTAGGTAAAAAGTAACTTAGTGCGGTCACAAAGATGAATGACAGTGTGTCTGAACAGCCAATCAGTGAGCAAACGGCAGAAAAGAAAGAGAGGAACGAAGAATGATGGGAACGTGTTGGCACGAGTTCACTGCTCACAAGAACTGTGACATCACTACAGCCACATCACCAACTCTAACTAACTAACTAACTAACTAACTAACTAACTAACTAACTAACTAACTAACTAACTAACTAACTAACTAACTAACTAACCTGTGAATCAACTGCTGGAAAACGACAGGACAGGAAATAAAGTGACTGCAGGCAATATTCAGAGTCTCCCTCGTGTTTTTCACTGAACAGGACGCTCCGCCTTCATCACCATCAGCTGTTTCCAAAAATCATGGATTTCCACAAGAAACTGAAACGTCACTGAAGCATGGCGTCGCATGTAACATTAGACCGCCGTGAGGTCATCACTTGACGAGATGGAGCTGTCACCTACAGAGGACTTCAGATCATTTGGGTGCTTTTGATTCACGTTCAGTCATTAGTTTGTTTAAAGGAATGAATTAAAGAGACTCAATGTAACAATGTAACATGTTCTTGTTTTATTAGGAACAAAAAGAACTTGCAAATTTACCAAACATGTCTCAGTTTGGCTGACAGGTTAGGGTTAACGCGACTGCCTGAGTCTGAACAAGTCAAATTTATTATTGAGCTTTATTATAAATAAGAACATAAAATAAATAAATTAAATAAATTAAATAAAACACGCAACGGTCCCGTGGAGGACAGGCAGTGGGCTGGAATCAGGCTGAAACCCTTCCACTATCACCTGATGCAGGGAGTTCTCACCTGTTGTCCACATGCTCAGACAGGACTGAGGTTCTCGTCCCTGCTTTGTTCCTCTGATGTTTCACTCGCACTGACTAACCAACAACGCTTGGTTAGGAGAAGGAGAAGGCTGGGGTGAACACTACACTGGGGGAGTTTAACACTGAGATGAAGGTCGTCTTGTTCTGTCAGCTGCTCCTTTCATGGGTCACCATAGCTGATCATCTCCTTCCGTCCCAGCATCCTCCTCTGTCACACCAAGCCAGCCTTTTTATTTGACCTGTATGCAGCTTAAGTGCTGCCAACACAAACCTAAAAGCTGTCGGCAGCATAAATGTTGTAGCTTGGGTGCAGATAACTGATAATTATCCTCAAAGAAACACTTTCAGCCTGCAAACAGCAAAGACAGATTTATGAAAGGTTGTGCTGCTGAAACATTCCCTTTCGGAGGGAACGAGTCAGTTCAAGCTTCACTGTTTCTGCTCAGAAGCTAAGAGAGCATGAACACCGTGGATCCTTTTGTTTGCTTTTCATTTTCTTTGACCCGAAGCTTTCGGTGCTCATTATTTTTGCCGAAGGACACTCGAACAGAAGGAACCGGGGATCGAACCGGTAACCCTGCAGCCTTGCTCTGCCGTTCCTATCCAGAGTGCTTTTGTTTTATTTTTAGCTGCATTTGAGGTTATTGTGTTACATAAGAAGCCTGCGTAGAAACGTGATCCTCCCACTGAAAACACAGGGCGTTGCTGAAGCTGCACTCAGGACGCCTAACCTGCATGCTCGTGTGCATCCAGTTAGTCATCCATTCACATTCAGCAGCTCTCACAGTTTTAATGACGTCCTGGTATCTTGAGGTGCTCAGGCACAGCAGCACAGGTGGTTTTTTTGAGTTTCACGAATTTCAATGGCATATTTTTCTTAATATTCTCCTGGAATCATTACTGTAGGATTTCTTCCTTCAAACCTGCCATCGGTCAGACTGTCACTCTGTGTTATCAGTACATTTAAATCCCTTTGTCCCAGTCATGCTGGCCTCACAGGGACAACAATTCTCCAGATGGCCAATCCTCCGTGTCGGTGGGTGGCAGGCAGCGAGTGGTGTGAAACAACTGATGACATTTATATCTAAGTAAAAGCTGCCGGGTGAATAACACCCATGCTGAAATTCAGAGCGATCCTCACAATGTGAAAAAGATCCTTTTGTCAGATTTTAAATGAAGCAATTCAATGTTAAAACTGCCCGTTTTTGAATGGAGTCTGGTGTGAGAGGACGAGGTTCAGGCAGGCAGATTGTGTG